ATAACTGATATGATTTATTTTAAATAAAAAATTTATTTAAAATATATATTTTAAATAAATTTATTTGAAATACGACCGAGCCCTGCTTTTATCGTTACTTTATTTCTATAACTACGTAAAGTATAGTCGTATACTATAGCTCCAGAAAAGCTTGGTGAAATTTCAATTGAACATGGCCGGAGCCACTACCGCGTCTTTTGATCTTTAATCTTTAATCTCAATCTTCAATGCATAGTCTGTTTCTGGCCTAACTCTCTATGTATAGCACGTGGTGATGAGATCACGTCAGATTCTAGATATAATCTTTGCAGTATATTTAATTTTTTTAAATAAAATTTTTTCTGTCATATCTCACAAATTAAATATATGTATATAATGCAGATTACAAATAATACTATTTTTTTATTATAATATAATTTTACCCTGAGGGTACTCACGATGACCCATTCGTATCATTGTTTCTTTTTTTCGAAATACTGCATCTGGTTAAATAATTCTTTTTATCCTTTCTTTTTAAATATACAACTTGATAAATGTTTTTTTAAAAATGTAAAAATATATATAAGAATCTATTTATAATTTTTGTATATTTGCAAAAATTATTGAAATTAACCCAAACACAAACGACTCATCGTGCACAGTAAAAGAAATGTAAATGTATTAAGAGTTAAACGTATAATTTAAAGATACCTTATTAAAAGTAATACGAGAAAAAAATTTATTTAAGTATAAAAATTACATAAAATGCAGTATATATTATGTGATATGACAGCATCTATTTCATTCATGGAAATAACGCACAATGTTTACTATAGGCATATATTTTTTGAGCTCTATTTCTCTACTAAAAAATAGAATTTTGACGTCCTTTTTACGTTTACCACAAAAATCTGCATATAATATTCTATTAGTGTCAAGAAAAAAAGTAACGACTCGTTATATTTTGAGTAACGATAATGGTAACGAGTTACTTTTGCGAATCAATAACGAGTAACGAGAACGAGTTATTTTTTAGGAAAAAAAAACGATAACGGTAACGAGTTATTTTTATGAGGTAATGTTGCCAACCTTGTATATAATATATACATACATACATACATTTACATTTTTTAGAAGCACTATGGAAGCGTATGATTACTCTTAATGATAAATACTACCCCATTTACAAAGTTTGGATATTCTTTATACCCATTATATCCATTCGTCATCCGGATGATCTAGAGGTAATAAAATATGAAGAAAATTTTATTCTCTTCTTATTATTCTTACTATATGTATTAGCGAATACGATAACTTTTTTTCTTTTATTTTGCCAAGATATATTTTCTCGTCAAAATCAAACGGAATAAGAAATACAAACTATAGTAACGAAAACGACTAAACAGGCATATAACAGCCACATTCATGACTTTAATTTTATTTTTAACTGAATAATCTGTACCCTTCGCCGCGCGATCGTTATTCTCTTAGATTTTTTAATTATCTATCTATTCGTTCTATTTTCTTAAGTACACATTTTAATAGACCTTATAGTGATAACAATTCATATTTTATGTCTATTTTTTTTTCTAATTACACTAATAATTTTTTCTTATTCTAATTACACCAACAAGGACCTAAACTGATTGAAACATTGATTTGTACATCTAAATATTTATTAGTAGAATATTGTGTCTATGTAATATTCTATACTAATAACTATTTAAATACTCGCAGGGAATGCTAGAAATCCAAGTTCGACGTAATATTTTTCGCAATAAGAATTATTTAGGATTGTAATGTCATTCAGCATTATTAGGATCGTTTTAAGATACGTAAGAGCATTAAATTATTAAATTGCTAGTCAATTTAACTTATGATATTACTAGTTTAGCACAATTTGCTGTAGTTTCAAGAAAAATCATTTCGGCGTGCATTTTAAAGGACTACGTATATAAATTTACACAGAATTATACAAGCACTTAATATCCAACTAGACCGTTTAAGGCATTTACTTCTTACAAATTGTATTTTTCACATACACGGTTTTATGAGATTTACTATTAAATATTTAAATATTATGCATCGATATCTGTTTTAGTTCATATTGGCTTTACTTCTTATTTCGTTTAATTTATTCTCATAGCCTTACTTACATTTGCTCGTAAAATATTTGTTAGAAATGATTGAATATTTATAATACTTTCGAAATCAATTGCAATTTTAGACAATACTACGCAACCCGAAACATATAAAAAAGAGTATTATTTATGATTCTTTCAAACCTTGGTTCGGAACTAGTCTTTTCATTACTGAAGGTAATGATATTAATACAAATAAGAATGTATGTTTTACTATTAAGTTTCATTTTGGCTATTAAGTTTTCATTATATTGATAATAAAATAAATTTGTAATGTAAATCAATTTAATTTGAAATTAAATTAAAAGATTGTTCCTCATCGTTTATTCCAATGCTTTCGAATCGTCATTTTACAATTGTACATTGTGTTGTTCATGTTTTAGGTGCCAAGTGGCATTCACAGCGAAAGATATTAACTCCTACATTTTATTTTAATATACTGCAACGATTTGTCGAGATTTGGGACAAAGAAAGCAAAAACATGATAAAGTCCTTGAAAAATACGGAAGGCACAGTTGTAAAAAATTTATCACCATTTATTAGTGAACACACGCTGAATGCATTATGTGGTATTACAAAATTATACTAAATTTTCTTAATAATAAATGAATATGAATTCACAACTACATAGAATTTAATGTCCATCAACGAATAATATAAAATAAAATACAACTTTCCTTAATTCAAAATATCGATATACAACATTGTATCGATCAATATGTAATTTTTGCAGCCGTACACCCAAAAAAAAATAATTTTAATATTAGCAGAAACCGCTAAATCTTACGGGATTTTATTCTTGAATACGACCTTAAGAGGAATCTTCTAAAATCAAGAGGAAAATATGCCAAGCCCAATATTCTTACAGTTAGAGTACTTTTGTTTTGCATCTGCAGTAAAAATCTTGATGTTACTAATATAATTTACTCGTAAGAGGGCACTCCGCTTTCAGTAAATATATTCCTCTTCATACAAGAGGAAAACTGTTAGAATAATTTCCAATACATTTTTGATGAATAATCCAGTGCATTGGAAGAGAAATACTCTTTCTATAAAAGTTTCTGCTTAGAATATGAGGTTACCGGAAATTTCACTTTACAATTAGATTATCTTTTTTTGGGTGTAGATAATCTTGAAATATACATACATATATATATTCTTGAAATATGCATACATATATTCTTGAAATATGCATACATATATATATACATGTATAGATATGTGAGTGTGTACGTACTCCGAAAATATCTACGGCTGCAAAAATTACATATTGATCGATACAGTGTTGTGTACTTGTGTATAGATATTGTGAATTAATCCTCGGTCAGCGAACGTCGGACAGTATCAACTCGCATGCACGGCGGATGCAGGGTCAAATGTGACCAAAGAATGTTAGTGTTTTAAAACGTTTGAAAAGCGATTTTTTTATTATAATATATAGTAAATTATTTCAAATATGTAGAAGATAAAATAAAAACACATATTTATTATATATAGAAACAAATATCCATTTTTCATTTTCTTCACAGTTGAAAAAAGTAAACAACTCTAATTCGCGGGTCTCGCGAGAGTCTGGGTCCGCCGGCGAAAAATTAAATATACATATATATATGTATATGATAATGTTATCATAATATTTTCACAAACATGTTTGCAGAAACTGCTATGGGCATTTCTCTAAAAAATCTCGGTGAGTTCCAGCAACAGTATCTAAAAGCAATTCATCAAATGGGCGAGCTTTTTGTTTATAGGTAATTTATGGACATAATAAATAATATATTTCTCATTTTATCTTAACGTATATCTTAATATTTTATCATATCAAGACAAATAATATTTAATGTAAAACGTCGTTAGTATACACGGAGAGAATTTTCTTTTAAAATTTACCCTGAAAATATGACAGTCGTGGGATAACATTGTATTTCGAAGATTTTTACCATGCACTTCAGTAAAATTGATCAAACTTATTTTAAACTTTATTGTAGTTTTATTAATGAATGAGAGGGATTTATGTTAAAATTCTTCAAAATACAATGTTGTCCCACGACTGTCATATTTTCAGGGTAAATTCTAAGAAAAAATTCTCTCCGTGTATAATTAAAAATTTACACATAACACGTCATTAATTTATGCATAATAAATTATAATCAGTTCAATTGTTTATTTAAAAATAAATACTGCTTAAAGCTTTTAAAATTTTTAATGCTAAAGTATCACGAGAAAAAATAATTCAGTATAAAGATGAATATATTTTTATGCAAGATTGAATAGTTAAAAAAGTTGTGCATATACGATTTTACGTATGTCTTTAGTATAATTTTATTATTGTTCTAAATTTATTTTTATATAGTTATTAAAATATTTCTAATTCTATATGTATGTAGAGAAATTAAAGGGAGCTTTTACAAAAATGATACTATCATCTTTTTAAAATAGCATGCCTATTATTTAGTAACTGTTATTGTAACGTTTAGAATAAAAAGACCATGGCTGCTATCTAATTGGATATTCGCATTGACACCAAAAGGCAGAGAGCAAACGAAGGTTCTAAAAATATTACATGGATTTACTGAACGCGTACGTTAAAATATTACTTAATATGGTATTTAAATATGATCTATTTTAGGAAGTTACGATATGATATTTAAACTTATCTATTTTGAGAAGTTGTGATAATGACTTTATATAAAGAAGTATTGCAAGATAAATCATAAATGTTGACAACACATTTATGTAAATCGTAGAAAAAACATTAATTTGTATTTACATATAGATTATTGCCGAAAGAAAACTTTATCATGAACAAACAAATAGTCAATATTTGAAAAGCTTTGACAATGATACATCAGCAGAAGAAGATGGTGCAAAAATGATTGGAAGTATGTCATATAATCAGAAGATATTTTTTAAATTTTATATGATATTATAAATTATATTTTACGATTAAAATGATGCTCTAAAAATATCATGTTTATGTACCTCGATTTAGTGCGAAGGAAGGGGCTTGCAATGTTGGATCTTCTCATAGCGGCATCTCGTGAGGGTCTCATGACTGATTTAGAGATTAGGCAGGAAGTTGACACCATTATGTTCGGGGTATACGTTTGAAACACCATAGCGGAATTAGCATGTAAAATCTGCCCCCATACCAATCGAGCTCAAATTGGTGTCATTAGTTGGCACTCCTGAGATGTAAAACTTCCCCAAATATTAGCCTCGAAATTGCATTTTTTGGGGAGTTATGGAGGGGGAAAGCGAAATAAAAAAAGTGGTTTCCTTCGAAAACGACTGTACCGATTTTAATAAAAAAAATATATGTTGTAAACATTGTTTAGATAAGTTGAAAACATTTTTTTGAAATTTTTACGATGAAAATAAAACCATTAAACTAATTTTTGAATTCTTTATAAATTTTTGTTTTTGGTGATATTTTTGAGTGACTACTTTTATACTTCGCAAAAATAATCTGTAGACTCTCTACTTTAACCTATATTTTTTTTAAATTGATCGGAGTGGTGGAACATGGTTAAAAAAAACAATCATTCGCGCAACGCCGTGCCGACTGGGCGACCGCGACCAAGGCGCGCAGCGGCGCATGGCGGCTGTTGCCATGGTACTATATACTAATCTTGTTGCAGTGTTGCAATGTTTAATTGCTAAGTAAATTGATAGAGACAAAGATTTTATTATTGCCTACATATTTATTCAGTGAACATTATAATATAATAATATATAATATTACATATTTCCATTAAGGACGTCTGCAGTTAGCCTATAAAACTTATAGTTCCCGGAATTAACCATGAGGAGGTTGCAGTACGTTTTTAAACTCCATATTTTCGGGGTGCTTTTTTAACGTGAGTCCCCTCGCCTCTAACGTTATATATTTTTCATCGGAGTGCTGTTTTACTGTGAGTCCCTTCGCCTCTCACGTTATGTATTTATCATCGGCGTGCTTTTTTAACGTGAGTCCCTCGCCTCTCACATTAACAAACCTCTCACATTAACAGAAGAGAATTAATTAATTCTTAATCATCGTCACTACCACTTTCACTGATTGGAATGGAATTATCTTTCTTAAATATATCGCTGAGTGATTGAGGCTGAAGAAAAAGGATAGTTTCGCCGAAAACTCCTTTCCAAAAATATTATATGTAATGATATTTTGGATTTTCCGGAAATGACAGAAACAGACATGATGATTTTCTTTACCGGTTCGTATCAACTCTCTCAAGCCGTGTCGTATTTGGTAGAGATGGTAGATAAAAATGGTAAATTAAATATAGAATATGTCAAGGATGAGAAAAATGTTCTTAAACTAAAAGTTCCATCCCGACATATTTCTCGTGCAACATATAGATGTTTCCTGAGGTACAAACCAAATAGTATCGGTGTTTCCGGTGTGACTCATTATGCACGTGAGTATACTAATGGCAGACGAATAATTGGTTGTTGCCCCATATTGCAATAATGTATTATTTATCTTATGCAAGATATTTATCAAAAATTTTTAAACCGGCAGAAATATATTTAAACTCAGCGATATGTTTAAGAAAGATAATTCCATTCCAGTCATTGAAAGTGATAATGACGATGATTAACAATTTATTAATTCTCTTCTGTTAATGTGAGAGGTTTGTTAATGTGAGAGGTGAGGGACTCACGTTAAAAAAGCACCCCGATGATAAATACATAACGTGAGAGGCGAGGGGACTCACGGTAAAAAAGCACCCCGAAAATATGGAGTTTAAAAACATACTGCAACCTCCTAGTGGTTAATTCCGGGAACTATAAGTTCTATAGGCTAACTGCAGACGTCCTTAATGGAAATATGTAATATTATACATTATTATATTAAATTATATTATATTATTATATTATAATTTTCACTGAATAAATGTGTAGGCAATAATAAAATCTTTGTCTCTATGAATTTACTTGGCAATTAAACATTGCAACATTGCAACAAGGTTAGTATATACGAGGGTCGTCTGAAAAATTTTGAGCCTAACATAGGAACAAGTAATTTTTCAGTTAAATTCAATTTTATTTTTCCACATAGTCTCCTTTTAAGTCGATACATTTATTCCAGCGATGCTCCCACCCCTTTAATCCATTCAAATAATACTGAGCGTCTTGCTTTGCAAAATAGGCGTCTACGGATGCGATGACCTCCTCGTTCGATGAAAAATTCTGTTCTCCGAGCCAAACTTTGAGCCTAGGAAACAGAAAAAAGTCGTTGGGGACCAGATCTGGTGAATACGGTGGATGGTCAATTAATTCGAACCGCAATTCGTGAATTTTTGCCATAGCGACCGCCGAAGTATGAGACGGTGCGTTATCTTGATGGAACAGCACTTTCTTCTTTTTGCGGTCGTTTTTTCTCAATTTCTGCCTTCAGCTTGTCAAGCAATGATGCGTAGTACGTCCCTGTTATTGTTTTACCTTTTTCAAGATAGTCAATCAACACAATTCCATGACTGTCCCAAAAAATAATCGCCATCATCTTTCCCGCCGATAAAACTGTCTTCGCTTTTTTCGGAGCAGGTTCACTCTTCGCAGTCCACTGTTTTGATTGTTCTTTCGTTTCAGGAGTAAAGTGGTGGACCCAAGTTTCATCAACCGTTATTAAGCGACGCAAAAAATCCGACTCGTTTCGCTTAAACCGCTCCAACAGGGCCTTAAAAATGTTCATTCGAATGCGTTTTTGATCCAGAGTGAGCAAGCGCGGCACCCAACGCGCGGTTAACTTACGCATGCCAAATTCTTCAGTCAATATATGACAAACACGTTCTTTTGATATGCCAACAGCCTCTGCTATCTCTAATCTTAATTCGACGGTTGTCCATTATCATTTGATGAATTTCTTCGATGTTATCGGTGGTGGTCGCAGTTGTTGGCCGTCCCGAACGTTCATCATCAGCTAAGCTGGTACGACCACGTTTAAATTCAGCTACCCATCTTTTCACGGTGGCAAATGATGGGGCAGAGTCCCCGTAAACAGCGTCCAACTCGGCTTTAATTTGCGTAGACGTATTGCCTTTCAAATGCAAGAAATTAATTATAGCACGATATTCAATTTTTTCTATTTTTACAAAATGACGACACATAAATGATTGTCAAACAAGAACTGAACGTCCAAAGTGGCCACAATTGTCACATATATCTTTCGTAAGTATCACGATTATAATACTAGAATGGCTTTGACGAGTAATGCCATCTTCATGATGAGGCTCAAAACTTTTCAGACGATCCTCGTAGTACCATGGCAACAGCCGCCATGCGCCGCAATGCGCCAGAGAGCAGTGCGCGGTCGTCCAATCGGCACGGCATTGAGCGAATGATTGTTTTTTTTTTAACCATGTTTCACTCCGATCAATTATAAAAAATATATGTTAAAGTAGAGAGTCTACAGATTATTTTTATGAAGTATAAAAGTGGTCACTCAAAAATATCACCAAAAAAAATTCATAAAAAAAATTCAAAAATTTTTTTAATGAAACGTATGTAATTTATTTGAAATTGTAATAAAATATTGTTAGCTCGAAATAAGCCACGAAGTTTTGTTAAAAATTTTTTAGTATATACGAGCATTAAAACCGTTAATTTTTTAACGGTTTTCTTTTTATCCTAAAAATTTCAAAAAAATTTTTTCAACTTATCTAAACGATGTTTACAACATATATTTTTTTCATTAAAATCGGTACAGTCGTTTCTGAAGAAAAAAAACCACTTTTTTTATTTCGCTATCTCCCTCCATAACTCCCCAAAAAATGCAATTTCGTAGCTAATATTTGGGGAAGTTTTACATCTTAGGAGTGCCAACTAATGATACCAATTTGAGCTCGATTGGTGCGGGTGCAGATTTTACATGCTTATTCCGCCCTTTTTTGTGGGTTTTTTAAATACAGTAGTTATACTAATGTTTACAATATGGTTATAGGGCCATGATACTACAGCGGCAAGTTTATGCTTCATTTTGGCATTATTAGCTGAACACAAGGACATTCAGGTACTTATCGTCAAATGTAAGCTGCCTTTCTTAGACAAAAAATTAATTAATTCACTAACTCCAGGAATTATTTATTAAAATTGTATCAATATTAAACATTTTTATTATCTTTTTAAGCACGTGCGCTCACTATTCGCTTTCCTATGTATCGACAGATATAAAAAAATGTACACACACACACCCACACACACACGCGCGCGCTCACACACACGTATGCAGTTCATTTGTATACATATTTATAAAAACATTTAAATAAGAAATGTATTTTTAATTATTAATGATACAGGATCGTGTCAGAAACGAAGTCGATATTGCTATGCAAGAGAATGAAAATAAATTAACTATGAAATTTTTGCATCAACTATCATATTTAGAAAGATGCATAAAAGAAGCGTTGCGCTTGCATAGTGCCGCATTTGTTATATCACGCGTATGTGGAGAAGACGTAAAATTACGTACGTATTAAACCAAACTCTTATCATATTTTTAAATTTATTTTATTTTTAAATATATTATTCAGTATATCTTAGATAGCAAAATAATGTTTTGAAAATATTGCTATTAGATGTAGTTTTGTAGATATATAAGAACTAAGTAATGCAAGATTCCCATTTCGAAAATTAAAAAAAAAATTTCTATGTTTTTATGAATAATGCTTATCCAAAATAAAATATTTCAAACATTCCAAATATAAAACTGCTACAATATATAACACCATAGTGTATTTAAAAAAAAAACAATATTCAGGAAATTAAAATAATTATTACATTTTTCATTAAACAAATTTGTAGACACTTATTTCTGCATTGTATTAAATAGATACTCAATTTAAATTTTCTTATAATGTTTTTAATTATTATTTATAGATTTTATTTTATAAATTTTATGCTTTTTAGAGTCATATTTAGTACCTGCTGGCACCATCCTGTTTATTGATATTAACATAATCCACAAAGATTCCAATTTTTGGCCAAATCCAGAGATATTTGATCCTGATAGATTTTTGCCCGAGAGGATCCAAAATCGTCACCCTTACTCATATATACCATTTAGTGCTGGACCACGTAATTGTATCGGTAAGCTATAATCTTTTATACTCTTTTATATAAACAAATTGCAATAAATATTAAATTATAGGCCAACGATATGCTATGCTGCAAATGAAGATGATGGTAGCTTCTTTGATACATCATTTCTATTTGGAACCCGTTGATTATATAAAGGATGTTCGGCTGCAGGTCGATATCGTAATTCGTCCTGATCCACTTCGTGTACGATTTGTTCCTGTTTTGCAAAATTAATACAAACAAAAACAGGATATAATCGATAGATACTATTATCACTGGATAAAAATACTACTGGATATAAATACTAAACAAAGAGGTGCGTAATTCGTTCTACAAATGTATTATTATTTTTGAAGAAACATCATTTCAAGAAACATCTCCTGTGTAAACTGTCATTATCGTGTCAAACGCAAGCGACATAAACGGCGTTTAATTTCGCAACTGTATATTTTCGCAAATATTTTTAGGTGTTAAACTTAATTCCTGTCGCTCGCTACTAGAGGGTGCTGGCTCCAACGCTGGCGAGTTTCGATGATGAAGTCATATGTCTTTTGTAGTTTAGGCATCGCTGAAAGTGATTCAATCCTCACAGGTTAGATTTCTCGACGTCAAAGAGATTTTCCAATCGATTGAAAATGAATCGCGATAAGCTGTTTTTCCGACATGTGCTTCTTCACTACTTCGACCTCAAGAAAACCGCAGCTGAAGCGCATCACTTATTATCCAAAGTGTATGGTGATGAAACTCTATCGGAAAGAACATGTAGAGTTTGGTTTGAACGCTTCCGAAACGGTGATTTTGATGTGAGAGACAAAGAACGTTCAGGACAGCCGAAAAAATTTGAAGATGTCGAGCTGCAAGAATTGCTTGATGAGAATCCAGCTCAAACGCATTTAGAATTGTCAAAACAGTTAAATGTTACTCCAAAGGCCGATTTAGTGACGAATTGATGCAAAAAAGATCATCCGTAGCTAACAATCAACGCAAAGTCATTTTGTTGCATGATAATGCTCGACCGCATGTCGCGAAAAGCGTGAAACAGGCACTTCTAGAGCTTGAATGGGAAGTTCTCCCGCATCCAGCGTACTCTTCAGACTTGGCACCGTTGGATTACCATCTCTTCTGATCGATGCAACACGCACTTATGGACACACACTTCTCCAATCACAACGACGTCCAAAAATGGGTGGATGAATGAATCGCCTCGAAAGACACCGCGTTCTACCGTCGTGGGATTCCCTGTTGCCAGAGAGATGGGAAAAAGTAGTAGAAAATAGAGGAAAATACTTTGATTAAGGTATTCATTCATCTTCCCTTCGAAACAAATTAATTTTGGAGACGAAAAAACGGCAGGAATTAAATTTAACACCTACTTAGTAACAATTTTTAGAAATAATGCACGACTCATTTGATTAGGGATTTTATTACCAAATCGATTTAAAAGCTAGTTATACGTGAAATGGGACTATATGAATTCCTTGTAACATATTTCGAAATTACATTGTCTATGTGCTAATATCCTTTCATAGAATGAATAAGAATAAATTATACTATAACAATATGACAATTAAAAAGGGCATAGAACCAATATTTAAACAAACAAATTTAATTTAATTAGAATCATAAAGTTAACAAACGTTTCAACTCCGATCGGGTCATTTTTAATGTTACAAAGGTAAATCATAAATAAAAGTACAACTATACAATGTTAAATAAATGAAAAGACCATAACTATGACAATTCGTTAATTGCCAGCAAATTCTTGTCTTTACTATATACAAAACTATCCTTAATCTTTAATTACAGTTACATCTTAAATAAAAATGAGTATGATTAAATAATAACATTTCATAAAATCGCAAGCGTAATCTTGTCGTTGAAATAAAAAGCGTAAGTTGTCCATTTGATATTTTAATCTAAGTTGCGAATGAAATCGTATCTGAGAAAGAATAATTCAAAACTTGAAACCTAAGTCATAAAATCACACCACGACACTTAGATTGGTTAATTTTGATATCAAATTTCATCACCAAAATTCAACTCGGAAATTCAAGAACTGCAAAGAAGTTTTTATTCGAAAGATATTACAAAACTTATGAACTTAATGATACACATAGGAAGAATGAATATTTTAAAATGAAGGTTCTCTATTTGGCAAGCAATTTTTCTTACTATTTACCAATACAAATTTGTGATGAGTTCATGTTTACACAGGAGAAATCTTGTTTTTTCTTTTTCATTAAAGAAAGGGAAAGGATTACATCAAAGTTTAATTGGTTACTTAATAAAAAGAAAAAGCAAATAATTCGCAATATTAAACCTATAAAAGTGACTGTCGATAATTCTAACAATCAGACAATACACACACATTCTTTACAACAAAGAAAGTTTTTAAAGCGGGATTCTTCTGGTATGCATGGTTCTCAAAATAATTGTTATCCTTCTAATTGTAATTTTTCTGAAATGGTGGATGTCAGTAATTCGGAGGTTCCTAATATTATATTTCCAGAATCTTTCTCTAAATTAAACATAACCAATTCTTTGTCTTCGGTCAGAGATAGATGGTTTATAAATCTTTCTTCCATTTCCATTCCTCATGAAGTTCAATGTTTTTTGCAATTGGGTGAGAATTTTGCCCTTCCTAATAGAAATAAGAAAAACATTATCTTCGATTGCATTAAGAGTATTGAAAACAGTACTCGCAAATTTCCTATCATCAAAAAAATTGACATAATTAATCACTCTATTCCCATTCTCAATAACATTGTTTCTTCTTCTCTGTTCACAACTCCCATAGATCATAAAATATTAAATTTAGAATTAATCACAAAAGAATATCTAAAATCACATCCGAATATTATATTTACTCACGCAGATAAAGGTAATGTCACAGTTGCTTTGGATAAAGATTTCTACATAGGAAGGGTTTCTGAGTTGCTTTCGGATACTGATACTTATGAAGTCATAAAAAGAGATCCATGTAATAAACTAAAAACATCATTGAGAAATATTCTTGTCAAATGGAAAAATTTATCCTATATTGACGCAGTAAAGTACAGACAACTTGTTTGCAGTGATGGATTATTACCGAGAGCGTACGCCTTACCAAAAATTCACAAACAGAATTGTCCATTTAGAATCATAGTGTCATCGATAGGCAGTCCATTGCATCATATGGCGTCTTATTTGCACCAGATCTTGATAGAATCCATTCCTAAAGCTGAGAGTTACATCAGTAACAGTTTCCAATTGGTAGATATCTTAAATGGAACATTAATTAACAAAGATTTCAAGTTAATATCATTAGATGTTATTTCACTATTTACAAATATACCGATTGATTATGCTATGGATTGTATCAACGAAAACTGGAATCATATCACAAAGAAATGTTCCCTACCGAAATCTGAATTTTTAACAGCAATACAGTTAGTTTTAGATTCTTCTTATTTTATTTTCAATAATATTATATACAAACAGAATTACGGCACACCTATGGGTTCTCCACTTTCGCCTATTATTGCGGATTTAGTTATGCAGAAGTTAGAAAAAACAGCTCTTAGTATGTTTAATAGTCAGATACTTTTTTATTATAGATATGTGGATGATCTTTGTACCGCGATTCCAGAACAAATGATAGATTCATTTTTTGAGTGTTTCAATTCTGTTCATGACCGTCTCCAATTTACGTTGGAGATAGGTGGTACTTCTCTTAACTTCCTAGATGTAAAAATAAAGAT